TTACAGTGCATTATCATTATGTTATCGGTACATTAGTGCCCTGGCATGTTGGGTTGTTTTTCATTGTATTTGTTCCTTAAATTCCAATTTTAAAAAGTTATCTTTAATCCTCATTTTCTAAATATGAACTAGTGAAAACCTTTTGCTATATTTTTAAAGAAACTGAATATCACGCTGTCTTAAAAGTGTGGATTCTGTGTTCTAACTCAATTTTTCTTTATATGTTTTCATAGTATTTGTTTTGAGACAAAAGGATTTCTTCTAACAATTTATAAAAATCTTGGCACTGATTGGTGGCCAGCAGGTGGCATGGTAGTTAAGGGTGCTGGACTTCCACATGGCAGACCGCAGTTCAAGTTTCGGACCTGACGACTTGCTTTCTCACTTTTCTTCTCTCTCTCTCTCTCTCTCTCTCTCTCTCTCTCTCTCTTGCTCTGTGCTTCTCTGGTCAAATTTAAAAATAAGTAAATAAATAAAGTTAAATAATGCGACTCTAAAAAAAGAATTCTTGGCATTGAAAAAGAAATTGACAAATCCTTTTTAAAAATCCCCTTACAGAGGGAACCAGCAGTTGGCGTAATGGCTATGTCGCTGGACTCCCATGTAGTCGACCATGGTTCAAGTCCCGACCCAGTGGCTTAAATTCACACTGGGCACATATGTATGTGTGCCCAAGATCCTGAGAGGAGAATGGAGGAGAAGGGATTGTGGCATGGCCATCCCCCCTGGGGGGTGATTTCTTGCTTTCAGTCTCTCTGTCTCTCTCTGTCTTTCTGGTAAGTGCACGCACCCTATAGCAAAAACCTCTCAAAGAAAAAAAGAAAAAAGAAATCCCCCAAACTATACTTTTTTTAAAAAAGAAAAAAACAAAAAAGGTTTCTGGCACAGGACTCTTGTGCTCTCTGAAAAGCTAGAGAAAGACAGTAAGAAAGAAAGTGAGAAGTCATCCCCTAGGGGAAATGGCCACACCACAATCTTTTCTGCTCCGATCTTCTGAGATTTTGGGCATGTACACACATGTGCCCAGAGTGATTTTTCAAGCCGCCACATCCAGGACTTGAACCATGGTTGACCATGTGGGAGTCCAGTGCCTTAACCACCCTGCCACCTGCTGGCCACTCCAATATGCTTTTATTTAAAATTATTTATTTTATTTATTTATGCTTTAATTTTGACCAGAGAGAGACAGAGTGGGAAAGTGAGAAAGCAAGTTGCCAGGTCTAGGACTCAAACCATGGTCGACCATGTGGGAGTCCACTATCTTAACCATCACACCATATGCCAAAAAAACCTACACTATACTGAGGTGTAGGAGGAGGATTCTACATGGCCAACAGAGGTTCAAATCCAAGTCCCTGGCAGCTTGAAAAATACTCTGAGTGCATCTGCATACGTGCCCAGAATCCCGATGGGAAGGAGAAATGGAGAAAAAACTATTGTAGTGTGACCACGTTCCAGTGGGGAGAGTGTTCTCCCACTTTCTCTCTCTCTCTAGTGAGCACACATGGCTCTGGCAAATAAATAAAATACCTTTTCTCATCTTCTCACTGCTCCATTAGTCACAATACATGCTGGATTTGATGTCACATGGGAATACATGTGTTAGCACACTCACAAAGTGTGAGGTATGGCAACTGTGCGACTCATCTTCTTCAAAACCAGAACTTTTTACCTAGCTCAGAATGGAATATACCAGTGGACACTTGCTTCAGCCCGTGTCAAGAAGAATAATTCATGGGAACCAGCAGTTAGTGTAATGGCTATGTCGCTGGACTCCCACGTAGTTGACCGTGGTTTGTGTCCCAGACCCGGTGGCTTAAAACTCACGCCGGGCGCGTGTGCATGTGTGCCCAAGATCCCGAGAGGAGAATGGAGGAGAGGGGATTGCGGCGTGACCCCTGGGAGGTGATTTCTCGCTTTCTGTCTCTTTGTCTCTCTCTGTCTGTCTGGCGAGCACACGCGCCCTATAGCAAAAACCTCTCCAAAAAAAAAGAAGAATTCATTGCTTCTGTTTTGTAAAAAGGATTCTTATTTTCAGTGTAATACTAAACTGGATACTTTATGAATGTAAAATCTGATCATTCATTTCCTTTTATGAGAAGCCATACTCTAAACAATAGTTATCTTTGACTTTCATTAATTCCTTTATCCATTCCACAGATATTCACGGACATCTCTGGGTCAGGCACAGAATAGGTACAGGTGCAGCAACGGGTGCAGAGACAGACGTGGGCAGGCCCTCGAGACATCCACAGACTAGTGAAGTTTGGACGGAACAGTAAACACCATTGCAATGCTGAGTGATAGGTGGCCAAGAGGGCCTCAGCTCTGTCAGAGCACAAGAAAGAGTGCATAACCTGACTGGAGACTGCAAGGAGAGCAGGGGTCGGCCAAGAGGGAAGGGCCACAGGTTTTCCCAAAGAGAACGTGTCCCTGAACTGGCCAGCTCAGGAACTGCCAGTGTGGAGAAGGTATGATGGGGCAAAGTGCTGGGAAGGGAAAAGAAGTGAGAGCTGAAGCCAGAGGTTCTACCAGGCTCATCTGGACAGACCGAACCAGAGGCTTGGAGATGGTGGGGACCACACCTTTGGGTTTGTATTGTCAAAGTGGCAACATTGTGGAGGTGCACTGGAGTGAGACAGGAGGTGGTGGCAAGTCAGGAGCTACTGGGGAAATCCAGCGGAGAATTAGTGATCTAAGAACATAGGAAATAGCCCCAGCCCAACAGGATCCAGTGGCCGTTAGGGTTTGCGAGAAGAAAAACGAGCTTGGAGTGATTCCTGTGACTCTGGTATGGAGCATCAGGGGCCCTTATTCCAGAGAGAGAGAGAGAGAGAGCAGCGTGAGGAGCCGGGTGAAGGTGTAAGAGTAGCACCCGAATAAGTCCCTGGTGAGATACTCCAGGCATTGTGGTGGAAGTGTTTGGGGACAGTGGACAGGACAGTGAGTTGGGCAGGAGAGCTGCAGGTCTGAAGGGTGTAATCAGTCCGGGAGAAAGCTTCTGCTGGCTCCAAGCCCCTTGTGCTGCGTGGAGGAGGGACTGAGCTCCACCAACTAGAGTCATCATGAAACTGAAAAGCCACAGGAAGAAACCAAAGGCCATGAGAGTCTCATGGAGGAATCAGTGCCAGCTTCACAGAGAGATCAGAGATAAAGACTAAAATTCATTGACGAGGTTTAGGTCCTGGAAGGTCATGGTTTATCCTGGACAGAATATTTTCCAAGTAGGGTATGGCCAAAGTCAGGCTGCCAGGGGTGGAAGTATAAACAGGAGGCAGGACATGCAGGTGGGGGTAGGTTCCCCTTTTAACTCTTGGCTGCAAAGGGCAAGAGGAATATCAGTGGAAGTAACAAAAGGCATGAGAGTGAAAATGTTGTTGATTTTAAATGGGATGGAGTTGAAGGGACCAGCAGATGGTAAAATGGTTACATTGCTGGACTCCCACGTTGTTGACCATGGTTCAATTCCCAGACTTGGCAGCTTCAAACTCACTCTGGGAGCATGTGTGTGTGCATGCCCAAGGAGGAACTGTGGCGTGGCCATCCCCCCTGAGGTATGATTTCTCACTTTCTGTCTCTCTCTGTCTCTCTGTTGAGCACAAATGCCCTATGGCAAAAAATTGGGGGGGGGGGAGGCAAAATTGATGCTGGAGGGAATCTTTTAGAAAATGAGAGGTTTACAAAAGAGAAGGGCGAACCAGCAGGTGACCTGGTGGTTGGTGCTCCGGACTCCCACATGGCTAAACCACAGTTTGAGTCTCAGATCTGGCGGTTTGCTTTCTCACTCTCTCTGTCTCTGTCTGTCTCTCTGTCTCTCTCGCCTATAGGAAGTTTAAAGTAATAATAATAAATCATTATAGGAGGGAGAAGAAAAAGAGAACCGGTAAAGGATTCAAGAACAGAGAAGGTTGGTAGTACGAGGGCCCCATCCCTGCGGAACAGGACCCAGGAGGGGAAAGAGGCAGGCGGATGTCTGTGGTGGGGCAGCACCCCAACTGGTATCTGCTCGCACAAAGCAAAGCAGCAGACCCTGCTGAAAGTGATACTGTGGGTTTGGAGGAAAGTGGAGGCACTTGAAGACAAAACCGGTCATTTGAAAGCCGGTGCGGTGCGCAACGCGAGGCCGGCACAGCCTGGACACTAGACCTGGAACAGCGTGCACACAGAGGAGCGCTCCTCTCCAGGGCTCTGTGCCTGCGGCTTTGGCCTGGTCACCGGCCACCGCCCCAGGGCCAGCACGGCAAGGCACTGCTGCTGGCCGCCCATGTGGGCTGACAGTACCAGCGATGGAGGGATCTCACCCCTCAGTCACAGTACAGAACAGGAGCCAGTCTCCTGCCCGCGTTCGTTCCTCTCCCACGGTGGCAAGTTCGAGGCCATTGTGTCTTCCAAAAGAGTAGTAGAGCTGTTCTCTGCGAGAACTGCAGAGGAGAAACGGGGGCTGAAGGCAAAGACAGGAGGCTAGGGAGGCGGCAGCGTGGGTGAGCTAGAATAGTCTAGAAACTGAAGGGAACAAAGGCGGTGTGACTGGTGAGCCTCTTCGAGATCCTCCTCCCTGATAGAATATGCATGATATTCCAGGAGTCCTCGCCAGCCCGGTAGCAGGGAGGCGTCGGAGGGAAGGCGGAGAAGCGCGCCCACACGCACTCTCTACGGTTCGGGGTGCGAGAGAGCCACGCGGCCGCGGCTCGGCGGAGCGCGCGCCAGGCTCCAGACCCCACGCGGGCCAGCGTGTAAGCGACCCCGGCCCTTCCTCCTGCCGCCCGGGCTCGCTTAGGGGGTCAGGAGGAAGGGCCGG